TGAAGTGTTGGGTTTGTTACTGATGGAAGCCAAATTGAAGCTAAACTGGGTATAAGTACAGGATCCAAAGTCTGTAAAGTTAATGAAGTTAATGCTCTTCACAGGTTGTTTTTGCATGCACTCCTGGGACTACAGTTCTTTCACCCATCTCCTGACTCAGATTTTTTTTCTGCAGAGGGGTTGGTGATGCTGGAGACCCCAGAGCTGCCTCCTGAGGGCAGTGGAGGGGCAGCTCCAATCTCTGCTCTGTGTGACCAGTGATAGGACTGGAGCTGTGTCAGGGCAGGGTCAGGTTGGATCTCAGGGAAAGGTTCTTCCCCCAGAGGGTGGTTGGGCAGTGACCAGGCTCCCCAGGGCAGTGGGCACAGCCCCAAGGCTGCCAGAGCTCCAGGAGGGTTTGGACAACACTCTGAGGGACAGGGGGGATTGTTGGGGTGTCTGTGCAGGGCCAGGAGCTGGACTGGATGGTCCTTGTGGGTCCCTTACAACTCAGAGTATTCTGTGATTCGATGATATCTTTTGCTGCATGTACCTTTATGTTCTGTAACAATAAAGCAATAAAAGGCAGTTTGCAAGATTGTGAGATGGGCTTAAAAATCTCAGTATGGAGAGGCCTACAAGTGAGCATTGCTTTGTAGTGTTGTTTTTTTTCTTGTTTCTAAAGATTTAAGTTTCTCTCATTTCACATTTTCAAATCTTTTTCCATACCCAGGCAGAATAGAAACCTGCTTTTTTTTTGTTTTGGGGACATTTTCTGAGGAGAGATAAGATTTTTTTACACAGTTTTTCACATTTGGAGAAAAGCACCAGCTCTGGCAGGGCTTGAGATACCAGCACAGGAGCTGATCCCACGGGGGGGTTAACAAATGGTCAGGAGAGATGTTTGCTGCTTTTCTCTGCACAGCTCCAGAGCTGAGGGCCAGGAGCCCCTTGTTCACTGCAGCCCAGCGATGGCCCTGCTTGAACTGAAATCACTCAGAAGGAAACCAGTGGCCTCCAGTTCCCTGTCTGGTGGTGGCTGTGGCCTCAGCTGTTGCTGAGGAAGCAGGACCTGAGCTCTGTTCACACCATCCCCATCCACAGGGAGGTCACTTTGCCCTTAGGGCAGGTGTGACCTGCAGGCAGGGCAGGTGTCAGACACTCACCACCCATCCATCCTTCCATCCCTCCCTCCATCCATCCCTCCATCTCTCCCTCCATCCATCCCTCCCTCCATCCATCCCTCCCTTCATCCATCCCTCCCTCCATCCATCCCTCCATCCATCCCTCCCTCCATCCATCCCTCCATCCATCCATCCCTCCATCCATCCCTCCCTCCATCCATCCCTCCCTTCATCCATCCCTCCCTCCATCCATCCCTCCATCCATCCATCCCTCCATCCATCCCTCCATCCATCCATCCCTCTGTCCATCCCTCCCTCCATACATCCCTCCATCCATCCATCCCTCCCTCCATCCCTCCCTCCCTCCATCCATCCAACCCTCCATCCACTCATCCATCCATCCCTCCATCCACCCATCCCTCCATTCCACCATCCATCCCTCCATCCATCCACCCATCCCTCCATCCCTCCCTCCATCCTTTCTGCCCCAGCCCTGGGTCACTCAGGGTGACTGTGTGCACCATTCGCTCATTTGGCTTAAATAGGAAGCAAAGCACTCCTGCATGACCCTAGTCCTCGAATCCAGAGTCTGACAGTGCCCACACCTGCCCTGGAGGAATGTCAGCAGCTCTTGGAGAAGCAGTTTGGCAGCTCTTTGCAGAAGCCTTTTCCTTTACCTGCTCCATGCTGGGTTTCCACAGGGGGAATGTGTGAACAAGAAGGCTTGTTGCCCACGAGCAATTGCCTTCTTGTGGGACATCACTCACCACAGCATCCTGCAGGACTGAAGGCGTGCAGTTATGTTCTGCCTCTGGACACACTTGATTTAGACCTAAGTGGGGCTGACCTTATAGAAAAAACTACAAACTTGATCCTGACCCCAAAAATAGCAGGCAAGGAATGGGAGAATAGCCTTTAGAGTGGGGAACAATGGAATTTCATTTCACATTAATTCTTGAATTATTCTGATATGATGTCAGAAAGGGTTTTCATATAACGTTAAGGTTGAAAGAAGCCTTGAGGAGAAATTGTAACTTTTTTTGTTTACTGTTCAAAGGAATGGAAGGGGTGCCTTAAAGTGTCTTCTGGCGAGAAAGTTTCACTGTAGCAAGTTATGGGACGTGTCTGGTGCAAGTGGTGTGAAAAACTGCAAAGTGCTGCAGAACAAAGCTGAGGCAGGTACTCTGCAGCAAACAGGGGCTCCTGGGGGGTGAAGAATTGGGAGCAGACTGGGGATAGAATCATCTCATTCCACTCCACTAGCCCAGGTTGCTCCAAACCCTGTCCAACCTGCCCTTGGACACTTCCAGGGATCCAGGGGCAGCCACAGCTTCTCTGGGCAACCTGTGCCAGGGCCTCCCCACCCTCACAGGGAACAATTTTTTGGTTATATCTAACCTCAGTCTATCCTCTAGCAGTGTGAAGCCATTCTCCCTTGTCCTGTCCCTCCATCCCCTGTCCCCAGTCCCTCTCCAGCTCTCCTGAAGCCCCTTTAGGCACCAGAAGGGGCTCTCGGGTCTCCCTGGAGCCTTCTCTTGTCCAGGTGAACCTCCCCAGCTCTCCCAGCCTGGCTCCAGAGCAGAGGGACTCCAGCCCTTGGAGTATCTCTGTGGCCTCCTCTGGACTTGTTCCAGCAGCTCCACGTCCTTCTTGTGTTGAGGAACACAGAGCTGGAGGCCATACTGGTGAATGGGTCTCACCTAAGCGGACAGAGGGGCAGCACCTCAGAGCTGTGGTGTTTGTTTGATGGCAGTGCTGTGCCTGCCTTTCTCTGGTGTGTTGCTGTGGGACAGCAGAGCCGGGATGTTCAGCTCGGGTTAAAGTAATGGTAGAGGGTGGGATTCAGCCTATGGCACGTGGATGCCTTCGCCTGAGATGAAGACTCCCTGGACTCCACCAGAGAGTAACATGTGACTCCACTGATGTCACCTTCACATCACTCCTCATGGGATGAGCTCCCCAGAGGTGCCTCTGTGCTGCATATGATGGATGAATCGCACACAAAGTGCACTTGGAGGGGCTTTGTGTCACCAGAGCAGCACCTGTACTCCCTGCACTTCTCTGAGAGCTGCTTCTGGACTGACTGGGGATCAGCAGGGATCAGTCTTGGAGTCTGAAGTGCAAACAGAGGGGCTGGTTGAGGGGAACTTGCAGGTGTTCACATGGGTGCCCACAGACCAGCTGTGCCTTCCTGTGGGGCTGGTGTGTCCAGCAGAGCCTGGGGGCCCTGCCCATGTCCGTGGATGGGTGCTGGCCCTTGGCTGTCCCACGGCCCCAGAGGCTCTGGAGTCTCCCTTGGCTCTGCTCTGGAGGAGCTGCCTCGTGGCTGGGCTTGTTAAAGCTGCTCTAGGTACGAGTGTGACCCCAGGACACTGTGAGGGTTTGGTTCCCTGTCCCTCAGGTCCTGCTGGAATTTCCATTCAATGACATTTACAGGAGTGCACAGAAATGTTGTCTGAGTTCTGGGCGTCCACCCAAGTCCGTTTGTTGGTTACTGTGGTGGGGTCTCACGGGACACAACCTGGGAAGCCACTACTTGGGAGTGAGGAAATTCTCTTTTGCCCAACTGCTGAGGAGAGCTAAATTCTTCGGTGTCCTGGACCATGAATGTGCTATTTCGGTGGGTTTGTGTCTTTGGACAGATCATGGATGAATTACAGCCCTTTTTGTTTTCTAGGAGACCAATGGGATAAAGTGTGTTTAGGCTAAAACCTATTTGTTCCACTTTTGGTGTCTTCCTCCACATACACCCTGCTTTTTTTTATTTTTGGGCTAAAGACCTTAAAGAAAGCAAAGGCCCTTTGCTCATGCAACATGTTGAGGTTAATTCTGACCCACTGGATCCCATGCAAACTGCTTGCACTTAGGAGCTTGGCATGAGATGCTGCCAAAGGTGACTTTCATGGTGCCTGGTAAGAATCTAAACCTTCTGAGTGCCCCTGAGTCAGGTACACCTCATGCTAAATGTGGAGGAGATGCTTTCAGAGTCTTGTGTCATCCATTGAGAACAGGAGGCTGTTCCTGTGAGGCCACCCGGATGCACTGCTTGTTCTGTGTCATGTCCTGCTTGATGTGCCTCACTTACACTGCTACAAACAACAAACCCAACACACTGCTGTGCCTCCAGCCTGGTGCACAGGGACTTAAATCACTTGTTGTTATTGCCTGTCTGTTTGTATTTTTTTAAGCATTTGTGTTCCACCAACACACTCAGAGTGAGTATTCTCGAGGGGGAATTTCCTTCCTGATAAACAATCCTGTAGTGTGATTCAGCAGGAAGGATGTGGTGGTTAAGGCACTGGACTGGGATTTGGGAGACATGGGTTGTCTTTCCAACTCTACCACAGTCAAGATGTGATGAGTGGAAGGGCAAGCAAAACAAAGAGAAGGAGCTGTTTAGCTGTGGCAAAAACATACTTTCACGTGGTCTGTCTGATTTGGGGTTAGATAGGTCTGGGGTTTTCACAGAATCATAGAATGTGCTGAGTTGGAAGGGACCCATCAGGATCATCAAGTTAACTCCTGGCCTTGTGCAGGAGTTTTGTTTGGCTACTCAAGTAAACAGCATTAGGACTCCTGTTTGTGCAGTTCAAATTTGAAAGCTCATCTTGACCTGTTCCAGGAATCCAGATGTGGGTTTAACTACACGTTGCTTTAACGTGCATGAGATCTCAGATGCCACTTTTCAGTGTTTCTTGGTTGACTTAATTCAGTTCACCGTTGAATTCTCTGACCTTCAGGCAATGTGTAACTGTGGCTCCTACACCAAGTTGTACTTGCACGTAGATTCTCCACTCTCTTGTTAGATTCAAGGACAGCAGACCACACACGAGATATTCCCTTTGTCATACAGGGTGAAGTTCCTGCAATTTGACAGTAACTCTTTTTTCTTTTTAGAAGCAAGAGCTTGGAGTGCCATCTCTGAGTTTAGACCTCCAACCTCAGCATCCTGATCTGGTGCCGCCTTCGGGAGGATGAATCAGGACAGTGACTCAAGTGATCAGCCCACGGGTGAGTTTTCTGCTTCTCTAAGTGTTTGCCTGTCTTCTGTTCATTCAACATGATTTGCTTTCCATTTATTTTCTTAGTGCTATTGGAAGAGAATACTGAGTCACAAATAAAGCAAAACCTGTGAATCAGTGCTAAATTGCATGCCCTGAAGGTTATTGGATCTTTGAGGCTTCCTGTCCACATCTGGATATCAGAATTCTTAGAATTCTAGTCCAGGTTGAAAAGTTTACTAGCAATTGTTTTTATAACTTCTCACCAGTTCAGAAGCACACAGGGTTTTATTACTGTGTTACACAACTCATTCAGCTTTTAGCCATAGTTTAATTCTCTCACCAATTGCTTTGGTACTTGGTTTCCCTGTGCAGAAAGGGAACACGTACACACACACCATTGTCATGGATGTCCCATGAAGTCTCAGTGTCAGATCCTTGCTGGAGACATTAAATGGACAGGAATTTGTTACTTTTTCTGGCCCAGACCTACCATAAATTTCCTCTCCTCTTCCATCCCCATCTTTGGTTGTTGGAATTCAGACTCATTGAGTGCTTCTGGCAGTCTCTGCCCCGGGGCAGGGCCTGGGAGAGGTGGGTGCCAGAGGCAGTGCCTGTGGCCTCCCAGGCTTTGCTCAGCCTGGGCTTTTTTGGAAGTGTCAAGGGGCATTCTTAGCTCTGACGTGAGGGCTATTTTTTGACAGTTCCCATTGTTCCCCACTCTTTGTTCATGGGTGAGGTCTTTTCTTCTGAGGCCTTTGTCAGAAATACAGGCTGTTAGGAGGGCTGTCTGCTCACAGGTTTGGGGAGCTTTCTTTTGTTGTCAAGAGTCCTGAGAATTTCTTCCTTCCTTTTTCAGACTTGCTTGGGCAAACTGGCCCAGACAATATGTGCCTGAGGGGATTGCTGGGATACCCCCTTGCTGGGACAGCCAGGAGAGTGGTCCTCAGAACCACACCCTGTGTGCTGTGCTCTGGCTGTCACAGGCCACGTGGCTGTAGGCAGAGCAAGTTCATGAGTCTGGGGTTCTGAACACCTGCCTGCACTAAAGCCCTTGCTGTTGTCTATGGGTTTGAATCTGGGAGCTCAAGAATGGAAAATTTTAGAAAAATTCCTGTGGTAGGGGGAAGTATCTATTCTGTAATACTCAGCATGTATTATTACTGTGAACAGGTGATGATTACACATCGGGATGTGTGGAGATTCAGGAATCATCCACAAAAGGACATTGGGGCTGGGTTTTTGGAAAAAGGCTTTCAAGGCAAGTCTCTATAACATATCCTGGGTGCTCGTGAGAAATGTGCAGTCAGAATATTCATAGATGGCTCGTTGCAGCCTTGTGTTTTGTAGGGGTAATGAATGTTGTGGTTTCAGTTTAGGTCCACTCTCTAAAACAGGCACAGGAAAGAAGTTGTCCAGAGGGACACATTTCCAATGTGTGCATTTTATACCTTCTGTTGAAGTGCTTAGTCCTGGTTACTCTTGGAGTCAAGTCCTGGGTTAGACAGGTGTGATCCACTGGGGATTTATATCTTGGCTGAAGATAGGGATCTTCCACTTTGGGCCTCCATTTGTTCAGCTTCCAGCACCACCTATTGAGTGTTCATTCTGAGCTGCCACTGTAACTATACTTAGAGAGGAAGGATATTATAATCTTGTGAAAGATTAAAATAATGTTACTGTAATCCAGCTGGAAGGGGAGCGCTTTTCTCAGGGTAGGAGACAGCCAAGGTTTTTCCCATTCTGTCCTCCCCTTGTATACAGGAAGGAAGTGCTGGCAAAGGCCCGCCGGGCTTCCTGTCGACTTGGGAGCACATTTCCAGACACAACCTTCTCCACCATCCATCACCCAGCCCGGCCAAACAATCGTGGCAGCGCCAGGGGAAAAACACCCGGCTGGGATAAACAGCAGGGAGGAGCAGGAGCAGCACCCTGGGACCTGGGCACGGGCCAGCTCCTGCTGTGGCTGTGTCTGACAGCAGGGCACTGGGCTTCCCTTCCCTTCCCTTCCCTTTGGAACTGAGAGCTTAATGGTCAAAATTCCCCTTTAGAAGAAGCAGCTTACCAAAGGAAAAAGAGGGGGAAAAAAGGAAAAGGGCTGACGTTTAGTAAAGAGGTTGTGGAGGCACTCTTTACAACACTGGCAGGTTGTGGAGCCTGGAGCCAAGGAGGTGGCCGGGGATGCTCCTGGGCACAGAGCACCCTGGGGTGATGTGTGAGTAACTGGGATGGAGGCAGAGCTTTCTGTCAGGTCTGCAGGGCAGGGCAGTGCTGAGGCAAAGGCCATCTGTGATGCCTCAAAGAAGGAGGAACCAAGCAGGGTGGAAGCCTGACCTTTAACTGAATCATCTTTGCTGAATAGGATTCTCTCCAAGAAGATACTCAGAACTGAACTGGGATCTTCTTCTCTGTGTCACTGCTTTTGTTTAAACTCTGCATTACAATATTTCAGTAATACTTTCAGATCTGTCTGCTCTGTAACCTTTTTTTAACTTGAAACAACTGTTTGGGTTTATTTTTTTTCATTATGGTTTTAGTATCCTCACAAACTTTGAGCTGGGAATTTCTCCCTACAGCTACCTTAAGGAGGTTATAGTGAGGTGGTGGTTGGTCTCTTTGGTCATGTCCCAAGATACAGGATCAGAAGAAATGGCCTTAAGTTGTGCCAGGACAGATTCAGATTAGATACTAGAAAATATTTTTTCATTGAAAGAGTGTTCAGGTATTGGACTGAGTTGCCCGGGGAGGTGGTGGAGTCACCATCTCTGGAAGTGTTCAAGAGGAGCCTGGATGTGGCACTTGGGGACATGGTTCAGTGTTGAATGTGGTGGTGGTGCTGGTTGACAGTTGGACTTGATCTTAAAGGAATTTTTCAACCTTAACGATTCTGTGATTCTGTGACTCAATATTTGAGGCATAATTTTCCTTCCACACCTATCCAGAATGCTCTGTGGGTAAGCTGAGCACCTGGATTGGTCAGTCCAGGTGTGAGCATCCTCACAGACAGAGCCTGCTAACATTACCGTGTTCTCACTATTTTCAAACCATTGATTGTTCCCTGGCCTGCGATGCTCCAAAGCTCCCCCCTAGTAGGTTGTCCAATAGCAAGAGGACTTGTACATGGGAATGGAAAGAGAGAGATAGAGAGACTGAACCACCAAAGCCCTTGTGCCTGCCCTGCTTGTTTCACACTGATGCTGCCCTGCCTGAACTGAGCTCTGTGTTTGAGCCCAGCCTCAGGCTCAGCCAAGCACATCAGCTGGTGAATTAGTGTGGAGATAAAACACCTCCAAGACTTCTCCATTTGGGTCATTGGGGGGTATAATTCAAGTTAAGAGTCCAGCCTAATGGTAAATTTGGAATTTCCCCTGAAACTTCAGCAGTTGCTCATAGTGTAAGAAAATATTTCATGGGGTTGCTTTTTTCCTGAATTAACTGATACTACAGGATTCCATCAACCTTTCCTTGGACTTCTCTCCCTGAAAAAGCCTCTGTCAGTAATTCCTGCAGCATGACCACCTTAGCAGTGTGTCCAGTGTGCTCAGGGTCAAAACAGTATTTAGTTAAGGCTTTGTTTTGGCAAAACTGGGATGAAACTTGAATACGAGTGTAACCTCTTGAATTAAGGAAAGAGCGTGTTGTTTATTGAGAAGGTTTTTAGGCTGGAGTTGCAGAAGTAACTGGTAAAGACTTCCCAGAAGCAAATTATATGCTCCTGAAATCTGCCCATTCTGCCCCTGCATGCACACTGACCATGGGATGGGGTACTTGTGACACATCTTTCTACACAGTTTATGCTTTCTATACTTTTTTGCTGTGTGTAACTCTTAACAGTCTTGATAAGAAAAAAAATCCCCAGCTCTGTGCTGGCTACCTGCAGGAGCACCTTCTCTGCCCAGCCATATGTGCCTTTCTGGGGTTCTTTCATTCATTCTCCTGTTTCACATTTTTATTGTCCTTTGTCTGGGCTTACAACAGGTGTGGGGTGGGCAGTAAGCTCCTTAAATGCCTTTACAGTACTCTGTGGGACAGAAATTATTTCTTATTTAAGATCTTTACAGAAAGCAGGATTATGGAGCCCTCATTTAAAAACTGAAAGCATTTCTACAATGCTAACAATTATTTTTAAGTCTACCAGAAATGCAAATGAACAACAGCAATTGAAAAAGAAGTTACTGGGAATGGGATGGATAATAAATAGCAGTACCGGCTGCATGGTTATGAAAACATTACCCCACAAACTCACCCATCTGGCCTAGAGCTGGGGAATGGCAGGTTTCCCTACTGCTCAGCACTGAGTGTAGGTGCTGGCAGTTGAAGCTGTCAACTTTAAAATTAAAAAGGCAAAACACAGCAACCTGGTTTTAGGTCCTGCTGCAGCCCTGCAGTCCCCAGCCTGTTCGAGGCATTTGACTCTCTCATTTCCCCCTTTGGGACAGTATTAATCTTCCCCTTTGTGAATCTGTTTGACTGTACCTGGGAAAGTGCTCATGTTAACAGCATGCAAAATTTCTTAATTTCCTTCTAGAAAATAACTGGTTGTGTCTTTGCTTGTTCTGGCCATCCTGATGAGAAGAGTAGAGGAGACTGAGGGGAGAGCTCATGGCAGTTCCAGCCTCCTGGGCAGGGGTAGAGGAGGGGCAGGCCCTGAGCTCTGCTCTGAGGGAACCAGGGACAGCAGATAGGGAATAGTCTGGAGCTGTGCCAGGGCAGGGTCAGGTTGGATCTCAGGAAAAGGTTCTTCCCCCAGAGGGTGGTTGGGCACTGACCAGGCTCCCCAGGGCATTGGGCACAGCCCCAGGGCTGCCAGAGCTCCAGGAGAGTTTGGATGATCCTCTGGGGCACAGGATGTGACCCTTGGGGATGGGCCTGTGCAGGGCTGAGGGTTGGACTTGTGGATCCCTTCCAACTCTGCACATTCTGTGATTCTGTGAGACATCACTTGAATGGGCAGTGGGTGTGATTCTGCTTCGTTCCTCCAGGCACTGCTCTCTTAGTTATTTTATTAAT